TTTTTTTTTTTTTTACATAAACCAGGAATCCACCCCCTCTGTTACCAAGCTTCAACTTGTTGTGAATAAAAATACAAACTTTAGTTCCAAGCCTTCCTCTAACAAACGTGTCCCCTCATGTCTCCGGAACCTGAAAAGGGCTTGGAGGAAAAAGTCAGATAGTCAGTCAGAAAACATTCCTCTTTTTCCATAGAATAACGGGGATGAAAGCAGCTACAGAGGACTGGAGGGGGTTTGGAAAGAAAGAGTGGCAGGATAAACCTTAGCAACATACACCCTCATTAAAGGGGTAGAGAGAAGAGAAAGGCAGCCGGATATCCACACTGGCTTTTGCAGACTTTTATCAGAATGACTGCCTATTGTGCTGCAGAGGCAGGGAGGCGGGGGGGGACTCCATGGAGACCAAACAGAGGATTAGATTGTTCCAACTTGACAAAATGCCCTCTGAGATGTCACAGCATTAATGTGAAACAAATACACGTCATCTGATTTTCTATAGGGCATGTTCTATCAAGAAATACATTATCAGGTCTGCTTATGCATTGTCAGTGACGTAGGTAGAAATAAGTATTTTGGTTACCAATAACTCGGTGATGCGAGAGCCTGGGAACCAAATGAATCTTAGAGCTCGTGTTTAATTTGCACTTATCAAATATCAGGTATGTTCAAAAAAAATTCTTTGCCCCGATTGATTTTGAATTTATTTAGCTGTATTCAGAGGCATTTTGAGTAATCAGAAATGAACTATGCATTTGTCTGGCAATCCTAGATTAATTATATGACAACCAACAAGATTATCTGTATTTAGAGTCGTACTGATATTTCATTGTCTATGGATGTTTATGGTCTATAAACTCCACACTGCCCTCATCCAGTGAAAATGTACCAAGGACTCAACTAGCATTGGTATTTTCTTGCCCTCCATCAATAAAAACAAGCCATCACCCCTGGCCAAAGCCCTGAAGGAGTTTGGGTGCCTAATGTCTTGAAGCTTAACCCACTGACCCTCAAATATTAGCTTTGACCAATTTTAGGGAGATGGGGCCGCTGCCAGTGGACACAAGCTGACCCCTTTATGTTCAAAACTGAAAGTGGGTGTTTTTTTGCAGGACAGGACACTTCATTTGCTACAAGGTTGAAATTGAGGCCATCTGGCAGTGTGACAGGCGGATGATTTACTAGTGTTGCCTAACATTTTGGTGGTAAAAGTGGTTTTCACTTTGATTCTGCCTTTCCACCTTGTACTTCATTCTCTGCGTCCTTCATCTTGCTCTGCTCTCCCTGGCCTAGCCATCTGGCGAGGCCCGTTGTGTTTGCACAAGGCTCGGTCCTCTGGAATGTCAACATAAGGCTTTGTGTGAAGCCAGAGGAGCCCACATCCACAAGAGATAAGACCCCAACGACCCGGATTGAGGAGAAAGGGTCAGCTACCAGGATGGCGGTGGTTTAACAAGGTTTAACAAAGTGGGCGGGTGACCTCCATATCCGCGACTTAATCCTGAGAGACACTCTCACCACTCATCAAAATCCAGCTTTGCCTCATCAGTGGCAAAATCCTATTTTTGAGTAGAAGGCATCCATCCGCTCTCCACCGCCAACTTAATCTTATTATTTTTATACCCAACCTTTGAAGCAGATATTTTAGTAAAGTTCTTCCCATTGACCAGTTAGCTGACAAGGCTGAAGTTCTCAACCTACCATTTGCGCTGTGTAGCAGATGAATGGTTCATTGCTAGGTCAGTGCTCACGAGAGGGAGGGGTCTACTTGTGTTTGATTAAGGGCTTGCAAGGCACCGTGTCTAGTTCTGCATGGAAGGATAAACAAGTCGAGTATGTGCCTGCATGTATGTGTGGATGTGGGATGTGTGTGTTTTGTTGCCCCGTGGGATCTTCTAAACATTCGCTAACGGCACGGTTGTGTCAGAGCATCTGTAATTCACAAATTCCACTTCCAGTTAGTTTATATGCTGACTCTGCTACGTCTGAAGGTCTGAGGTAACGGCTCTTGGAGTGTAATCATAGCAAAAAGAAGAGTTGAAACTAAATTGTTTAGAGGAAGATAATGGGATAGAACTCCAAAACTAACATCTTGCAGAAGAGTTTAGATTACTTGTGTTTGTTGACTAAGCAGGAGTCAGGAGAGTAACAATGTGTGTTGTAAGAGGGTTAATTATTGCCCACTACAGAAAATAGAGCTAGTTTTGTTTCACACGCACTTGCAAAATTATATTGGAGTCCAAAACAGTGAAGTTTGTTACACTGGGATAATATGGCATATTTTACAGCTCTGGGTGTGTTCTATAAATGGGCTTAGTCATAATGTTCCCTGCCTAGTGATGCCAATCACACTCACCCCATCAGTCAGACAAATCCCCCTGTGTCTTGTCTTACAGTCATGAAGTCAGCAGTGACATCAAAAGCCTTAAACCCTGACGTACTCTGATGATTACCTGCCAAGGTGTCAAACGTGGGTTTTCCAGTGGCAGGATTTTTCATTCTGTGCACTGTGACTAATGCAAAGATGTTTTGTTTTTTTTGGGGGGGGGGAATTATAACTACAATTGCACTTTCGATTTGCAACAATTTAAAATACCCAGTTCCCGAGTATTAGTCTGTACAGTGTAACTCTTACTTACAGTTGTTCTATACTTCTCCCATAAAGAAATATCCAAAAGATCAGAGGTCTGGGCAGACTGCAAACTTGTTAGTGGAGACATTACAAATGAGGATTTAAAATGGCTTATAATGCTGTGCAATCCTATAAAATTTGATAGTTGAGTCGATACCAAGAAACTACAGGGCCATACAGATACTTCTACCCTATAAAGGCAGCTTATAAAGGTAGATCAGTGTGTCATAACTAAATAAATCATCATCAATCTGCAAATTCTGAACACATTTTTATGATTATTTTTACTTACTCCACAATAGTTAGTTAACACAACAAAACACCTTTCAAAAGCTTTTCATGTATTTTGAATCTGGGTTTTTTGGAGACTTGTGCTGGTCTCTAAAGCAGTCTGGGTCAACCTTTGTGGTTTAAATGTGTTATAGGCTATAAATCAAATAGACGTGACAGTCAACAGAAAAAAGTTCAAATGTTTGTCATGGTGCATGAAATAAATTTATTCAACACAATTCAGTCGGCTACGTACTGAAATGACAGG